ATAAGAGAGGGCAAAGTGGTCAGAGGTCTAGATTTTGAGGGCAAGGTCAACAAGATTCCTCACATGAGGTGTGAGAGAAAGAGAGGGTCAAGGATGACTCCAAGGTCATCCTCAGAAGGACAGAGTTGCCTTCAACAAAACAGGTTTGGGTGGGGCCACAAGGAGTTTGGCTCTGGACATGTTGCATCACCCTGCAATAAGGGGCTTCTTTTCAAAAACTAGTCTCATCATGCCTGGTTCATCCTTATGTTTTCCATCTTCCCTGGCCATAGAAAGATGGAATTCCTCAAGGCTTAGGACCCTACATGGGATCCCTACCACCTCTCTGGCCCCATATTCGTATCAGATTTCTCTTTATGTTCATTCTTCCAGCCACACTGGTCTCTCTTCAGCTCCTTGAACATAGTTGCTCTTTCCAATCTCCAGCACAAGCTGATTCCCCTGCCTGGAGTGCCCAGCACCCTCCCCTCCTGCTGCCCCCATTCTCCATCCCAGTTAAATCCTGCTCAAGCTTCAGATCTCAGCTTAGGCTTCTTTACTTTCAGGAAACCTTCAGGTCTCCCCCTGTGCCATGTCCTCATGTGCTATATTTGTTTCCTATAATTTTGTAATTGTATGATTATTTGATTCATGGCCTTCCCGCTACACTGTAAGGTCCCAGGGGGCTGGATTCACAGTCTGTTTTGCTCACCCTGGTACCTCTGGTGCCTCACACAATATCTGGCATATAGTAAGTATTTCGTAAATGTCTGCTGAATGAATGAATGAATGATGGCTTATTACCCACCCACAAGAAAACATCAGCTTATACATTTATTCTCTTGCAGAGTCTTTGTATAATTCTAGCATAAGGAACACTGACCTAGAGAGAAACACCAAGGAAATAGCACATTATCATTTATAATCATCCAGAGTTCAATATGCTCATTCAGGAATCCAAGCCATGACGGATCCCTTTCCTATAACATAGGGCCTTGCTCACCAGACTTCCGGTTCCCCTCAGATTTACATTGTCCAGCCCTTTGAAGACAGGCTAAGTCATGTGATTTGCTTTGGCCATTGAAATGTGAGCAAAAGTGATAGGTGTCAACTCAAGGCAGAGGCATTTGAAAGCTGGTGTGCAACCCTGCAGGTCGGCCCGCCTGTGTTAGTTTCCGGTGGCCAGCCGAAGAGTGTATCACAACGAGTAGCTTTTAACAAGAGAAATTTATTCTCTCACAGTTCGGGAGGCTAATAGTCCAAAATCAAGGTGTCAACAAGGCCCTGATTCCTCCGAGGCCTCTAGGGAGGAATCTTTCTTGGACTCTTCCAGGTTCTGGGGCTTGCTGGCAATCCATGGCATTCCCTTGTCTTATAGATGCATGACTCCAGTCTCTGCCCCTGTCTTCCCATGGCCGTCTTCGGTGTATTTCCTCCGTGTCTCTGTGTCAAGATCTCCCTTGCCGTTCTCTTAGAGGGATACCAGTTATTAGATTTGGGGTTCCGCCCTAGCTTAGGACCCTACATGAAGCTACTCTTCAACTTCGATCTCAGAAGGCCAGTTGTTAAATTGGCCTTCCCACCTGATTTCTATGAACTAATCCAAACTCAACCTTTCATCTTTGCCTTTATAAGATGGAACTTTGAGACTTTAATTCTTAGGGCCCAGGATGACCTCATCTTAAATTGATTACATCTGCAAAGACCCTACTTACAAACAAGGTCACACTGACAGGTACCAAGGGTTAGAACGTGAACATAGCTTTTGGCAGGGACGCAGTGGAACCCGTTCTCCCCATGCAGCACATGCTGAGGTGGAGCCTTCATCAGCCTGGTTCCTTGGGTCACTGCAGTGAGACAGGTTTGTGCCTCCATGTTCACCTCAGTTCAGTTCCGTGATGTCCCCCGAGTTAGAGTGGGGGCTGAATCACCTGCCCCGGCTCAAGTATTTATCCCTATAGCTATTTGATGACTACATTTCACTGATTCATGCAAATTAAATGTGCCTATGCTGTATATCTTTTCCCTGTGACCTGTTTTCCGGACTGTCTTCCATAGAATACATTCCTGTTGATCAGTAGTTACTGAGTGCTGCCATATGCCTATCATTGTGCTATGTGCCAAGAGGGATGTGTGGGAAATTAGACACAAGGAGTCCAATTATCAGGAATATATAATCTGATCTGGTGGACGAAACAGAAAAAAACTATCAGTGTTGGCTGAAATTATCAGAGGACACCAAATAATATGACTTAGTAAGAGGGAATGCTAACAGGACTTCTGGTTCGTTCTAGGTTCTATGGTAAGCACTTTGCAGGTGTTAGATTCTTTCATCCACGTGGAGGTTGCAACCCATTGGGTTGGTATTTTATATCTGTTTTACAGCTGAGGAAACAAGCTTAGAAAGGCTTAAGCAGCTTGCCCAATGGTCATTCGGTATTCTTTTTTTTTTTTTTTTAAGATTTTATTTATTTATTTGACAGAGAGAGATGCAGCGAGAGAGGGAACACAAGCAGGGGGAGTGGGAGAGAGAGAAGCAGGCTTCCTGTGGAGCAGGGAACCCGATGCGGGGCTCGATCCCAGGACCCTGGGATCATGACCTGAGCCGAAGGCAGACGCTTAACGACTGAGCCACCCAGGCGCCCCAAGTCATTCAGTATTCTAATCCAGGTTGGTCTGATTCACAAATTTGGGGTCCTATGGACTTTACTGACCTTTCAACTCAGTTCAGCCTTAATAGCCTGCTAGTATATGGTGGTCTACACTCGAGCAACACCAAGGTTGGTTCTCCTTATGCAATTATCCCTGGGCTGAACTTATCATGTGGTAATATCAACAGTTTGCAGTAATAAATAGAATAAAATATTTAAGCTACTCTTCAACTTCGATCTCAGAAGGCCAGTTGTTAAATTGGCCTTCCCACCTGATTTCTATGAACTAATCCAAACTCAACCTTTCACCTTTGCCTTTATAAGATGGAACTTTGAGACTTTAATTCTCTAAGCTGGCCATGGATGCAAAGATTTGTCCTATCACGGGCCATCATTTCTCCTCTAAAGCATTAAAAACAATTAAAAGAAACAACATGAAACCAACCAACCCTATTTTTAAGTGTTTCCAACCTTGTTTCAAAACAGCCTTATGAGGACTGTTTTCCCAACAGCCATGTATGAAGCCATCCACTTTTGAAATCTGATTTTCCTGTGTAGATATAACCTGTTTTCTATGCTTGGAGAAGCAGGGAATACCCAAGCTGGCACTCAATTGTAGCAAATGTGAAATAGAACATTTTTTTTTTTAATTGTAGGAATGTTAAAATCCATGTTGACTGGTTTTTACATTTACCCGGCAACATTCCCATGCTAGCGTTGGCATGGAGACTGGAAAAGGAAACTTTCCACCAATCTGTCACTTGCTACTGTTTCCACTTATTTTACTGTGAGTCCAATTTTAACAATTTTTTAAAGTTAAAACAAGTTTAATTCTTTTTTGTTTTGTTTCGTTTCAGGACATTTCTCAAACATACAACACAGGCAAAAAGAAAGATTTTAAAACTCAGTCAAAAATTTGGTTTTCCAAATATTCAGCTGTTTAACATTCAGATAATTGCCTTCCTTTTTTTTCCTCCACATTTAGTCTGAATGTTTTGGCATGGGGAACCCCACCGTCTGAAAGTAACTTTGTCCCAACTCTCCTCCCTGAGTTTATTTATTTATTTTCTCACTGCGTTTATTAAAGAGGCTGAAATACGCATCTGCTTTTCAACAGTTTCTGGTCCTTGAGGGACCAGGGAAAGCCAGAGGTTCTGACAATTCAGAAACAAAGTTGGGTTTCCCAAAACTTCGCTGCAAGCAAGGTTGGCAGTGGTCACAGCGAGGTATTCATGAAATCGTTTTCATTGAAGAAAAACAAGCTGTGATTCTTGGAACTAGGCTTGGTCAGAGATGGAAGGCAAATGTGTCACTCGCTCTCTCATGAGTAGCCTAGAGCCCAGTAGGCACTCAAGTCCTGTTTACGTGAATGAATTCATCACAGCGATGCTACATGGCATCTTCCAAGACGGAAGGGTGATTTTCCTGGGCTGGAAAGTAAAGGAAGAGAGGGCTGCCTACCTACAGTTCAGGGGGCCTCAGCCGTGGCGGCCCCGAAGCCAGGCGTTCTCATTTCCCCTTGGCATCATCCTGAACTGCTCTGCCTGAAGCTGGCGCGGTGTTACAGAAGGGAGGAAAGGCATGTGGGGAAAATCAGAGAGGAGAGGGTCGGGAACAGATGTGAGCATAAAGGGAAAGCATTAGAAATGAAAGAAAGAAATTGGACTCCCACAGCTGGAAGGACAAACCCCACCATGTCGTCAGGGATGTGGGATTAGGGGTGATTTTGCTTGCCCTTTGTTCTTCTTTCCTGTCTTCCACGTTTCCCGGTTTATTTGTTTGATGTGTGTCTTTTCTGTTCGGTTATTGGACCATGAGGCCAGACCCCAGTGGCCAGTACCTGGCACGCAGCAGGCGCCCCGCGAAGACCCGCTGAACAAATGAAGGGCTTCGGAGGCTCCGGTCCCTCCCCTCCCCGCTCCCCCGGGGTGTCTAACCGCCCGGCACGTAGTAGGCGCTCCCTAAACATCTGCACGGCAAATGAGCTGCAAGTTTTCGGCGCCCAGCACGTGGAGCTTTGGAAACCAGGACCGTGAACGAGCGTGTCTCAGACCACAAAGCGGCTGGGGCGCGTGCGAGAGGCGGCGGCGGGCGGCGGGAGGCGAGGCGCGGGCCGCGAGCGGGGCGCCCCGCGGGGGGCGCTGCCTGCGTGGCGCCCGGGGCGGGGGCGGGGGCGCGGGGAGCCGCGCGCCGGCACGTGCGCGTCCCGGGGCCGCCGGGCCGGGGTGGGCGAGCGTGTGCGCGTGGGGCGTGGGGTGTGTGCCCGCGCCGTGCCCCCCGCGCGTGCTGCCGGGCGGGCGCCGGCGTGAGTCACGGCGGGGCTCGCCTTTATAACGGCCGGGAGGCTCGCGCCAGCCGCCCGCCAGCCCGCCCTGCCGCCGCTCCGCGCTCCAGCGAGCGCGCCCCGGCCCCGCGCCCCCAACGGCCCCCAACCGCCGCGCAGTCCCGAGGGCGCCATGAGGGGCCCGCGCTGCGCCCCGCTGCTGCTGCTGCTGCTGCTGCCGCCGCTGCTGCTCACGCCCCCCACCGGGGACGCCGCCGTCATCACCGGGGTAAGCGGCCTCCGGCGCACCTGTCCGCCCGGGATGCGCGCCCGCGCTGCGCCCCGGGGGCTCGGGCGGGGGTGGGTAGCGGCGCGGGGAGGGTCGCGCCGGGCGGGGACACCTGCCCCAGTCGCCCTTTGGCGCTCTGGGAGAGGTGCCCTGCCCCAAAAGCAGCGGACGGCCCGGGACCCTGGGCGCGCCGTGGAAGAAAAAGGGACCGAAGTGTCACCGGCCTCCTTTATCACCAGCTTTCCACCCTTGCTTCCCTCTTAGACGCCTGCAAGCTCTCTCCTCGAGTTTGGTCTGTTTTTCTGTTAAGCTGAAAGAAGTTTGCTTCCAGAGTCTTCCCTAGCACTTTTTCGAGGCGTTCCAACCTCGAACCTTAAAATTTGGGAGACCTTTTCTGAAATGCACAGGGGCAAGACGAATATCCCCCAACCCTGAGACTTAATCCTCTGGTCAAGGAGGAGTTTGCTCCCCTTGTACCCTCCGCAGAAACCCCTTGAAATAACTTGGTCCGAGGCCCTGTGTGCCTTTTGAAAGCAGTGTGGGCGCTTCCTTCTGGTTTCCAGGGCTTTTTTTTTTTTTTTTTTTTTTTCTTCAGCTTCTTGAGGTTTTCCTTTTAAAAGTTTTCCATTTCCAGTTCCTGATAAAACACCTCCAGTGCTCGAGCATAATTATGGTGTAGGTTACAATGTAGATGTTTGTTTCAACTTAGAGAAGTTGTCCTCATCATTTTTGAAAGTAGGAACTGAGTCCGTTCTCTCCTACTCCCACCAACAATTTTGTGTGTGTGGATCTGAAGGATGAGTTTACAGTAGTCTACTTTACATCAACAGTGCAAAATCCCTACCATTTCCTGGTTGCTCATCTGCTTTACTCTTTTATCTTTTTTTTAAGTCTTAAATTATTTTATACCTCCATTAAATTACTTCAATTATCTAAGGCACACTATGGGATTTTAAATAAGACTTATATGTTTGAACTGATGATACATAATGAAATACTGAAATTTGAGGGAATTCTGTCCTTGTCTTGAGAAAACAAAGCTCCATAGTCTCTCAAGTTAGTTCATAGGTTTATAGCATCTTGAAAGCCCTTGTACAATAACAGTATTTGGTTATATCCAATAGGTATTATAAGCATTGTGGTATTTATAAAATAGAGGTTTTTTTCAAAGTGTCTTTGAATAGCTTTGTCAGTCAGTGTGGTTGGGAAAAAAAAAAAACTTTTTACAGGTCTTTCTAATATATGAGTTGGAACATGATTGGGTTTTTTTCCCCCCTCTTCCCCTGCTGGCTCATTTTAAATTTCTCCTAATCCTCTGAGCCCAGAATTCTTTTGCAATATAAGTATCTTTTTGTTCCATTCACAGGACAACACTATTTGAATAGATCTGCAATGGGTTAAGGATGAAGGGCATTAGGAAACAGCGGTCTAATTAAAAATATATAAGCCTATGCGTTTTTTGTAAATATTTCCAATAAGTGATGCTTTTTGTTACAAAAATGAAATTTTATCACATGGGATGTTTATCTGTTGGAGAGGCTTAGAGTGGACTTCTCTATGCTGTTTTAACTCAGTATTACCAAAAGAGAATTTTTAAAAATTTCTCTAAGCAATGTAGCAATAAAGAAATGTAGTTATGTTTTCATGACAGGAACCATCTGGAGCCAAATGAAAAACTTGGTAACTTATTGTCTTCAGGATGTTAAACATCCAAGTGATTAATTGAATTTTTGGAAGATTTTGGCTGGATTTTGATTGTCTTTTAAAAAGGGTTAGTAGGGCTTCAGAATTCCAGGTCTTGAGCATCTGTTGACAGAAAATACTGCCTGAAACCTCCACCTTTTATATATATATATTTGGTAATAGGTGTAGTTATTTTGAAACTGATTTATGTTCCACATAGATTTGTTAAAATCATATTGGAAAAGATCATGTACTGAACCTCTCATTTATGAAATGTCATGGCCGTGTATACATGATTTCTGGCATACAGCTAAAAATTGAAAAATGGAAATGTTTGGATGTTTTCCTCTGAATGTCCTAATGCCCCAAGGTGAATATTGTATTTTTTCAAATTGTATGTTTTTGTCCATATAGTTGTTTTAAATAGACTGGGAAAAAAACTCTAATGAGGGAAATAAACCAACCCTAAAGCAGGATGGTTGGTAATTTTTACCAAAAAAGCAGTGAATAAGGGTGTGCCCATATATTTATGTTTTGAGAACTTGTGGCTAGCCCCAAAACTTTGAAGAGAAAAACGTGGAAGGAGTGTTTTAGTTGTTTCCAATAAATGTAAAAAATTTAAATTTTTGTCTAAATTATAGACTTTTTAGTTTCTTACATATATAGTACAGCATGTTTTTACCTCATCGCTAGCAAAACAGATTATTACACACCATTCAAACAATGCATCCTATTTTTTGTTGGTTCTAGGAAGGAACAATTGTTCTTCAGATCTATTTTTATGCAAATAAATTTAGACTGCATTATTTATTGCTATTTAGATAGAGTATGAAAACTCCTCCATAGTTGATTCTTTAATTATTTGTATTTACAATTTTTATATTGGGAACAGATGCCTTGAGTAATCATTGTTGATAATTGCATCTGTCATTTGCATTTCTAAATCTGATTAATCTTAAAGAATAGTCCCACCGATTTTGTAATGTACACATGTGCATACCCTAAGCCAATAATTTCCTTTTTGCAGGTTACTCACCCGAAAAAAAAAAAGTAACCTAAGACAAAAGTCTTGGTTTGCCCATTCCCAACCTATGAAATTTCTTTCTTTAAAGAGGAAATGTGAAAATCAAGTCAGTGGTTTGAGAAACATCAAGTCTCATGAACCAAAATGCAAATATTTGAAAGGGAAAATGAGCACTTTTAAAATTTACATCAGTGCCTTTATGGGTCTGGAGCATTTCATGCCAAATCTAGAGACCATTTAAAATTGGGCCCAATGTATTCTGCTGTTAATAGTCATAAAATCTTGTGATTCAATTTATGTAGTTCCTAATGGCCATGTATGGTATAAGACTAATGCAGACTCGTTTTTCAAATTCAAGGCCAATTCAGCCACAAAACACTAGAAAAAGAGGTGATTTTCTGTGTGTGTTTAAGATTTTCATAATGTGTAGGCCATTCTTTAGGCCATTTTTTTTAAACTAGGAAAATCTCTTCTATTCAGATTTTATGGTAAATATGTGCAAGCAGATGAAGATTACAGTTCTTTTTTATATGTATGATTATTAAAATCCTAGCGGTTGGAGATGTAAAGAGCATTTTTACTGCTAATTTTAGATTTCCTTAGCCCAAGTCTTTTCCGCCATCCATATTTATCTGTTTATTTGTTACATTTCAGGCCTGCGACAAGGACCCCCAGTGTGGTGGAGGCATGTGCTGTGCTGTTAGTATCTGGGTTAAGAGCATAAGGATTTGCACACCTATGGGCAAAGTGGGAGACAGCTGCCATCCGCTGACTCGTAAAGTTAGTATATATATTTGTATTCATGGTGGTTCTCTTATGTTGTGGTAACTCAACTCCAAGCAAGGCCTGTATGACAGGAAACCCAGGCTAATGTGCTTGAAATTATAAGTTAGAGAAGATGACAATGGAAAACTACCTCCTCCCCCCTCTCCCCTACCAGTTTAAAGAACTGGGTCCTCTACCATCCTTATTCTAGTGAATCATTTTCATATCCTTGCTCTCATGACATTAGAAACATTTCAGAAAAATAATTTCAAACACATGAATTTGCCTAAAAATGATTTAGGACAAAAATATATGTGTGTAGTACGGTGTATACTTCTTTGCAGCAATCAGAGTATGGAAGTTCTTGAAAAGACTTTTAATATCAGACCCACTGATAAGGCAGAAGTAAATAACTTTGTGTTTTGTTTCTTGCACAAGATCATCAATGATACAGTTATCCTTGTATCTTAATTTAAAAGTCCTTTATTTTCACTTAATCTACACAATACACTGTTCATAACCGTAGAGGTTAATGATATTTAATTTTCCAACTTATTCGGTTATCTAACAGCTCAGTGTCCCTAAACAACACTTTTGAACAGTTTTGGCAAGAAGTGGCATGACCTTGGGCGCCTGGGTGGCTCAGTTGGTTAAGCGACTGCCTTCGGCTCAGGTCATGATCCTGGAGTCCCGGGATCGAGTCCCCAATCGGGCTCCCTGCTCAGCAGGGAGTCTGCTTCTCCCTCTGACCTTCCTCCCTCTCCTGCTCTCTGTCTCTCATTCTCTCTCTCTCAAATAAATAAATAAAATCTTAAAAAAAAAAAAAGTGGCATGACCTTATGTTGGCAGGATTGGATGGCGCTTTTGAGGTTGTGTGGCAGACACTCCTGTCTGCGAGGGCCAGTCAGTGACATGACTTCAGGTAGGCGGGGTGGGTTAGAGGCAGGAGGGAGCAGAAAAGTGTGTGGAGCTTGGAGAGTCTTGGCCCTTCTGAATCAAAACTTAAAATGATGGGATCTCCGTAAGATGCCCCAGGGACCCAGGTGGCAGTGCCTTGCCCCCTTAGCGCCACCTACTGGTTTTACCCAGCAGCAAAGGGAAGCCCCAGGCCATAGAAGGGCGCGTCCCAGGCCAGGTGGCTCGTTGGAGGCAGAGCTCCGTCTGTCTGCGGCATTCTCTCCCATTTAAAATAGATGGAATGTGAGGCGCCTGGGTGGCTCAGATGGTTAAGCGTCTGCCTTCAGCTCAGGTCATGATCCCAGCGTCCTGGGATCGAGCCCCGCATCTGGCTTCCTGCTCAGCGGGGAGCCTGCTTCTCCCTCTCCCTCTGCCTCTCTCCCTGCTCATGCTCTCTCTCTCTATCTCTGTGTCTCAAATGAATAAATAAAAAAAATCTTAAAAAAATAAATAAATAAATAAATAAATAATAAAATAAAATAGATGGAATGTTTTCCAAGTAATCTACCTTCTGGACTCTGCCTTTTGCCTTTTTTTCCCCCCCACATGTGGTTTAGGGTTGAAAGCTGTAGTAAAGCCCAGCATCTTCCCTGTCCTCGACAGTTGCAGATGACAGTTAGCTGTTTTGACTTTTCTGCGAGCCAAGGTAATGAAATAAATGGGCTTACGTTCAGCTCTGTGAGCTGTCATAGGGACTCCTCTTGCTTGGGTGGCTCTGAAGACTGAGTTTGGCTTCCCTGTGGTTTCCTTGAGAAATAACTTTTGTACATTTGAGCCAGTGTCCTTGAAAAGGTTGCTCTTAACCTTTTCTTTTAAGAACAGTGTTGTTTTTGTGCAGCGTTAGTATACCCTTACACACCCCGCATATACCAGGATTGTGCAGCCTGACACGTTCTGTGCAGCTGTTCGTTGTCATCACAGCAAAGCGCAGTTGCCCCTTGGCGAGGGCGGGGACATCCCAGACCGCCTGTACTAAATGTTGGTTATGAGTTTCTCATTTCACGCAACAAGCCCGTGAAGCACATTGGTTTCCAGCACCTTCTGCGTACAACCACAGTAAGCCTCAGAGGGACTGGGTGACTGGCTGAGGTCACCAGGTGAGAGGGCGCGCAGCAGCCTGGGACGTCACGTCTGTGTGACGCTCCATTGGTTGTGTGGTGTTAATCACCATACTCTTCTGCCACCGTGAAAGTGGGTTCGTCTGCTCGGGTTAACCAAAACTGGTTTGTGTGGGATGAGAGAGAGAACGGCCCCTCCTGGGAATATGTCACACCCTGTAGTTCTGATGAGTTTTCCAATTCTGAGGTATTTTAATAAGAGAGCCAAATTCTCTTTCCCCGGGTGCCTGGGTAACTTCCAGTTCAGGTGTATGTAGTGTAAGGTCATTTCTGAGAGTAAACAGAATCCTTCTTCTCCCGGAATCCCAGATACATCTCTCCGTCTTTGTTTTTAATCACAGTTGTAATAATGAAGTCTTTGATAATAAGTTATGGTTTTCATAGTAGAATTATGTGTTAAAAGAACTAAAGAACTAAAAAAAAAAATAAAGGTTTTATGTCAGATCTTAACTTTCCCCCCAATTCAGATGCCCACTTGAAAAGTGTTTCTAGAACTCAGTTTTACAACTTTTCCTACTGGATACTTTTCTGTCTTGAAAATACATTTTCCTATGTCACTTCTATTTTTAAAGTAGGTCCCGGAGTTGTTACTTATTCTGGGTGAAATTAACTTATCCTGGTAAAAATCTAGTTACTTCCAGATTATCTCTCTACTATATTCTATTCAAAACAATTTGAGGGAAAAAATTTTTTGTAAATGCATCCTGGTGAATGTAATGTACAGTATTCAACTTCAAACTACAGTTTAATGGCTCATCAGTAAATGGTAAAAGTCTAGACACTGCATTGAAAATTCTATTTTAATATGATGTGTTCTTTCCTTTTTCTTCCTTTTTTTTTTTTTTTAAAGGGGGCATTAACTGGTTGTGGTTACAGGGATTGGTGTTTTAAAAACACAAGACTATGAATAAGTGAAGACTACACCTGTTTAAATTTTAAACTTTCCATTCTGGCTTGACTTAGTCATAACCACAAATGTCTGTTTATTTTGATAAAGTGAGTAATATTTGATGAATGAAATTGCAAACTACAGGTAGGAATTGATGTCACAGATTGTTATTTTATTTCAGATACATCAACTAATTTGTGGAGTTTACAGTGACTGCTACGCTCTAATTTTAGAATTGTACAGTTTTTAACTTTACATTTGATAATTGAAAAGTAGAATAAAAGATCAGTTTACCTAAGAACAGGATGTGTGTTTTCCAAACACATTTTTAGTCAAATAAAAGTTTTAACATGTATTCATTTTTAACATTTTTTTAACAGTTAGGGATGAATTACTGAATCGTATATCTATAAGGAATATTTTGCTGTTTAAAAAAAACCACTATTTTAGTATTTCTATTAATACCTACACTTTCCAGAGTTTACAAAGATCAGCTATTTCCATCCCATTCTGATTGCTTCTTGGCTTTGGAAGTTTATAATTATGTAGTTAATACTTTTATTGCTTATCATTTTATCTTTGTTTTCAATTTAAACAACTGTGTTTCCTCCCCCAAAATTGTTTTTGCTTCACTTTTTATGTTAACATTTTTAGTATCAGTTTTACTTTTTGTTTTCTGGTGGGGTTTTTTTTTTAGCTACATTTTAAAACTTGACCAATACATTTTCCTTTTCTGAAAAAAAAATGAAAATTAAAACCTGGGACTTGTCTGTGTTTAGAAAAAAGGGATAATTTAAAAAATTATTCGCAGTTTCTGTTTTAGAACCAACCTATGAAACTATGTAAACATACTTTCAGGATAGAGTATAACTTTAAAAAATATTAACTAAAATATGACTAATATAACTTCAGAATTTAGTGGAAGATGGGTGGATGAAAGCCTAATATGTTAATTTCCTCATCTTTCCTATCACAGAGGTCAAGAGCCGCTATCTACATTTTCTCTCTCAGGACAGCATCCTTGCTGTGAATACAAGTTCATTGTCAGAGAGACTCAGGGGACATAAATATACTTTAGTCTAATACAGAGTTTCTCAGCCAGGGCTCTGTTGACAGTATGGGGCTGATAGCTCTTTGTGGTGAGGACCATCCTATGCATCATAGGATGTTTAGCAGCATCCCTGGCCTCTACCCACGAGATGCCCTTAGTCTCCCTCTCTCGGTTGTGACAACCAGCCATGTCCCCAGACTATGACAGATGTATCCCCTGTGATGGTTTGGGGGATGGACCTTGCCCTGGTTGAGCGCCACTGGCTGAACGCTACACTTACTTCCCCTCCCAGGACACAGTGTAGGAGATAAAGCAGCACCATTGCATTGGGAGCTCAGCAGCTACCCAAACACACAACATGGCTTGCCCTATCTTCCACACGGGGCACTTGTAGCTGCCCCAAATGAGAGCTAAAGTGTGGGGGGTGGGTCCCCTTGACTCACAGAAGCCCACCCTCATTTCTTGCAAATATTTTGCACCCCTCTAGACCCAGAGGCTCAGGCCTGCATGCCAACAGCTTCCCCAACCCAACTCAAGTTCCATACAAGCCACGAGGCTGAGCCCCCCATTCCCTGTTTTCCTTTACTCTTTCCAAGGACACAGAGCAGTGGGAGGCCAGATCCCATGTTAACCCTCTCTAGCCATAAGAAGATAAATCATTGCATTATTTAGGGTTGTATGAATATATACTTATTCCAAAACAAATCTGAAGAAACATTTTAAGACTTGACCAAATTAAAATACATTGGCGATCTTCCTAATTAATTAAAGCTGGGAACTGTGAGAGGGAGACAGGAACTGTGAGACTTTTAGTTTCTATTTTATGTGCTATTATGCTATTTGAAATTTTTTGAACTGTGTGCTTTTATTGACAAAAGTTATGGTAACAAAACTGGCTTTCTTAAAAATAAAATTGTCGGAGGTGCCTGGGTGGCTCAGATGGTTAAGCGTCTGCCTTCAGCTCAGGTCATGATCCCAGGGTCCTGGGATCGAGTTCCGCATCGGGCTCCCTGCTAGGCAGGGAGCCTGCTTCTCCCTCTGCCTCTGCCTCTCTCTCTCTCTCTGACTCTCATGAATAAATAAATAAAAAACATTTTTAAAAAAATAAAATAAAATTGTCATTTTTTTATTGAGGTAAAATTGGTATATAAATTATGTAAGTTTCAGGTATACAACATTATAATTTGACATCTGTCTGAACTACAAAGTGATGACCATCCATCACTATTCATTTGACCCCCTTCACTCATCTTGCCACCCCAAGCCTCCTTCCCACATGAGATCAGTGCTTTTTATGTGACATGCCCAGGGTTTTCTTCGTGTATCCTTCTTTACCTTTCTTTCTTTAGCAAAAGTGACTGTTTTGAGAGGAATTACAAATGATACCTGTGTTTTGTATCAGCGCTGTTTTCTTTTTAAAAGTGCCACAAATGGATAAGAATTGTACCTTGTGGAAAGTGCTACAGGTCCTACCTTGGTTACTTCTAGAATCTGCTTTTTGGAATTCTGGGCTTTTGGAAGTGTTGGATTGAGTTGATTCTAAAATAAACCATCAAGTTGGGACTGAATGGTTAGCTCCTGGGCTCTATTTGTGCCTCTGAAGATGCATCTTCTATATACCTTCTCATGTCTCTGGCCATTAGACACCTATTAACTTTGTCGCACAATATGTGTAGAGCTAGGGGGCGCCTGTGTGACTCAGTCTGTTAAATGTCTGCCTTCGGTTCAGGTCATGATCCCAGGGTCCTGGGATGGAGCCCTGAGTCAGGCTTCCTGCTCAGTGGGGAGCTTGCTTCTCCCTCTCACTCTTCCTCCCCCCGTCCCCCTGCTTGTGCTCTCTCTCTCCCACTATCTCTGTTGCTATCTCTGTCCCTCTCCCAAATAAATAAATAAAATCTTTAAAAAACAAAATATGTGTAGAGCTAGAAATGAAGGGGGGCACTGGAGAAATTGCCAAGTATCTATTAAGTGTATCACATCAGAAATGGTGTTCTTTGTGATTAGGGGCTCACAGATGGAAGGAGAGGAGGAAAACTGCTATGAGCGGGTACAGATAAAAAAGCCTTGGCAGGGGGAGAAACAGACCGGATCTTGAAAAAGGGGAGTGGGCTTGAGAAGAATAAGAAAAGAGCATGCAGGTAGAAAGATCCCTGCAGGACCGTGTAATCATGATGTTAAGGTTTTTGGGACAGATCTGAGCTGAGGCTGGTACTGCCTTGGCACCCTCCATAAGAAAAAAGGATAATTCACAATATTTTTGAAGGATTCACAGAAACCTATGACCTTGTGAGCACATTGCCAGGGCCCCACCTAGGCCCCGGAGGGAACTATACACAGGAAGGCCTTCTGCGTCTTTGGCTTCACGAAAGTCCATCTCTGTGAGTTTGGTGGCATGAGTCACTTGGGGCCTGCTCAGTGCCGGGCAGTGGTGTGCAGAGTAAGGAGAAGCCACAGGACCTGGGAAGGCCACCCCTCTGCCTTCAGGCGGAGCACTTCTGCGGGGGGGTTGGGGGGGTGGGAGGGGGCATTGGCAGGAGATAGAGCAAAATCTGGAAGAAAGCGGGACTGGGTTTGATTATGACAGGTTCCCTTTTAGCTGGGTGACTGCAGTTAGCCGTGTTACTTCACCTCGAGAGGAAGCCACTTAGCTTGTGTCAAAATAAGGCAAAAATCTGGCATACAAGTTTGGTGTGACGTTCATGCGCCATGCCTTATGAAGCCTGGGCATGGCAGGCCACCGCTCTTACTTTTCTTTGCTCCTGTCTTCAAGGCATTAAGAAGGCACATGACAGGCCAGAGAGCACCCATGGTGTCTTGATGCACACGTCACAAGACTGCAAGCACCATGAGGGCACTTCTTCACAGCTTTAACTATCCTGCCGCGTATCTGTCTTCCGTCGTTAAAACTCACGCTGCATGATGGGCCCAGGCCTTCCCTGTTTCGTTCATCACTGTCTCTGTAGCACATAACATAAGGCCTGATATGTCGGTGACAGTAAAGATCTGCTGAATGAGCGAATAAAGGAAACATGCTTGGTGTTGTCCGTGTATAACAGTCTGACATGTTCATTATAGTTACAGTTCACTTAGCTCAGGCTCCTTTACCTTGGATAGCGCAGCTTCTGTTTGTTTTTCGGAACAGCGGCTGCGATATCCAGCTGCCACATTGGGCCTGAGAGTTCTTATTGTTGGGGGTTATCCTGCACATTGGAGGCTGCCTAGCCGTACCCCTGGCCTCCACCCCCTACTCACGCTCCTCCCCCCAAGCTGTGACAAACAAAATGTCTCTGGATATTGCTGGATGTCCCCTCGGGGGCAGAGCCACCCCCAGCTGGGGACCACCGGCCCATGCAGTAGTTTCAGGCATGGCCAGATGAAGCTCGCAAAGCCTCAGGGCCAGAGGAGGTCCTACAGGTCAAGGGTTAGAACTCCTCCTGCTGTCCGCTTGTGATGGTCCAAGCCAGGCAGCTGTACCCGCCTCCTCTGACATGTTCTCGGTGCCAGCAAACGAGCTGGCCATCCGCGTGCCGCCCTTTGACACACACAGTGACAGAACCATTCTGAGCACAAGTCTGCGCGGAGCTGACGGCCGGGCACCTGCGGGCAGGCACTGTCATTAGAACCTTGACAATAAGGCCCTGGCCCTTGGCAAAAGGCAGAGGAACCTGGGGTGGCTCGGCCTGTTCACCCGGGTGTCAGTGCCCACCTGCTGCTTCCCTGTTTTCCTTTTGTATTTATTGACCTCAGTCATTTCCCTGGCCCTTCCAGAACCATTTTGGAAATGGAAGGCAGGAAAGAAGAAAGAGGAAGAGAAGAAAAAGGAAGAAGGAGGTAAGAAGAACATGAGCATGGTACCCACTGAAAGATAATGCCCAGCGTAGTGGGCTCCAGCCATTTTGGGACTACCATACAGATGGGTCTGTCCTCTTAGTTCAATCCCCAAATAAGGTTAGAATGGTTCTGTCACTGTCTGCAGACGATTTTTTTTTTTTAAATGTACAGAGAAATCATTTAGAAGACATCTGGAAGATGCATCTCAGACTTTCTCATTAGGACAGATAACTGATATGGGGCGGCCTGTTTTGGTGGCAGAGAATAGGAAGGAAATACACTAGAATGATAGCAAGCAAAGCATCTGAGTTGAGAAACAGACAGGATGCATTTTTCTGCCCTGTGTAAACTGTATAGGATCCCAGAGGCATGAGTCTCTAATAGCTTGCCTCTCTCACAGTACCCTGGGCCAGAGTAATTTGCCATCCCATTTCATTGACTATCAGTCGCCTCCAGGCCTGGGGTTAAACTTTCTCCCTATAACTTGCCAAGGAGGTGGATTCTTAAGAGGGCACCATTCCCAGGGGAGAGGGAATGAGTTTTGTTCTTTGCCTCTGGAACGTGTATGTATTTTGAGGGACTCCCCTGAAAGGCCCACCATGCCAGTTGCTGGTTGACCCTCCTCAACCCAGCTTCATTGGTGGCGTGGGCGAGACTTAGAAATACCACTTGGATGACTCTTGGAATGAAGCCAGCCTTTCTCTGCTGGCTCTCCCTAGGCCAGGGTTTAGTTTGTTCCTTTTCTGTGACTCAAGCTTGCCTCCTTCCCTAATTTCCCTTTTGTTCCTCCCCTACCCACACTTCCCAGAATTTTGACCCCTTCTGCTATCTGTATGCAAACGTGTGAGTTTATATATTGCTCGCCGTCAGTGACTTCATATTTTCTCATTATCATCGCGGTCACACCCTTAATGTCATGGCCCCCTTAAGGAGCTTCATTAGTAGGATGCTATAAAAAGAATTAAAATGAAGAAGTAAAAGGCAGTGTAGCTTGGTGGTCAAAAGCTATGTCTCTCTGGCCCAGCTGCCAGCCAAGCTTCAAGTTCTGGGTCTGTGAGCTCGGGCAAGTTGCTAATCTCTCTGTGTCTCGGTCTCTCACCTGTAAAATGGGTATAATGAAAGCATTTGTCATGTTCACAGAGCGGTTATGGGATGAAGAAGGATAATAAAGTGCCGAGTGTATTGCTTAATGAAGAGTTAACACTCAATATAACACTAGCTGTTCTTATTCAAAGACATTTCTCAAGAATAGTTTTTTGTTTTTGTTTTTTAACATTTCCTGCTCTGACTCAGTTTTCTTCTTTTATCTTAGGTTCCATTTTTTGGGCGGAGAATGCATCACACATGTCCATGTATGCCGGGCTTAGCCTGTTTACGGACTTCATTTAATCGATTTATTTGTTTAGCCCGAAAGTAATCACTTGAGAGTAGAAACTTTAAATGTGAACAGCCACATGATGTCTGTAAAGTCTATTTACTTGTGATTGTGCCAAACAAATAATATGCCAGAAAGAAATGCTGTTGCTTTCTCAACTATCCAAGTAACATTTCTATCTTTGATGTTTTAAATGACTTTTTTTTTTTAATTGAAAGAGGATTTTAATTTTGGATACGAATGTAAAGTGCAGGGCATTATGGAACCGGTTCTCATTTCCCTGTTTGTGTTTTGGTTTGGCTTAGCTCTTTTAATGCCAATAACTCACCCATTTTCACAAAAATGAGGAGAATAAGAATTTGATATTTTGTCACAGAAACGTTTTTTTCTCAAACCCCCTCCCCCCAGCCCTGCCTACCACACACACACACACACACACACACACACACACACACACACACACCCCCTCAGGTCTCTTTTCTCTCCTCAAAGAATTTTAAGGCTCTCACTTTATTTTTCACCATTTCCCTCACCAGTCCTTTTGCATTTTAAAGTGGGGGGCGGGGTTGTCCCATCTCCTCTAATTTGCTGGCAGAATCACTGTTGAGAATCAAGCTTTTTGTCTACGGCCATACCACCCTAAACGCGCCGATCTTGTCTGATCTCGGAAGCTAAGCAGGGTCGGGCCTGGTTAGTACTTGGATGGGAGCATCAAGCTTTTTGCCTGATACTTAAAGAGTGAAGGGTGTGTAGACACTCCAGACTTCTCCTAGACGGCGTAGAGGTTGGGGTGCTTCCAGACTTTCACGGAACCCGTGCCTTCACGTTGCTGTGGGACAGGTGTGAGTGAGTCCAGAGGGAATGGAAAGCCAATTTGGTCCTTATTTCTAGGTTTGGGTTGGTTTAAAAACAAAACAAAACAAAAACAAAACAAAACACTTCCCCAATACAACATTACATTTATTTCTCTTTCTTTTTATGAAGTTTATTTTTTTTTAAGTCTCACAGTTAGAGATGGTCCAGAAAATGTCACTTGAAGAGGAAGTATTGACTTTATTCTGGCATAACCCCTGTTACCATTTTAAAATCGGTATTAAGTTGTAATTTAAACTTCATTTGTAACCAGAAGTTCTCTTATAATGGGTTACCTGACATCTGCCATGTGTACCTATAACAATATTGCTGTGTAAAGATTCTGTATCAGAATAATGACAGTATTGTATATCATTTGATTTATTTTAATATTATATCCTTATTTTTGTCACAGTTGTTGTCAGTTTTTATTACAAGCAGATTTCTATTAGCTCACATTCTAAAATGGGCAAAGACCCCAGCGTTGGTCAGATAGCACTCACAGGATGTGCTTGTGTTCACTTTACATACAGGAAAATTCTGTTTGCATGAATTTTAAGGTCCTACAAAAAACAATGTGTAAATCAGTGAGGTTTTGGAACATGAAGGAAGATTGTGACGTGCAAAACTGGCTGTAATCAGGAATGGACTCCTGGGATGTCACTGTATTGATTCAGCAAATCATGATCCAGTGTTCATAATGAGTGGTTAGGCAGGAGGCTAAGTGCTAGCCGAACGGTGATGAGAAACCTTGAAAAACCCCTCCAAATATTGTAAATGGAATCAACGTCGCAAATAAACAACTTATGAAATGTGTTTAACTGACTAAACTTGACCATGGCAACCCACTAACTTTGCAAAAAAAAAAAAAAAAGAAAGAAAAATTTGTCCATTTTGTAGTTAGTTATTCAGCCAAGGCTTACAGTTGCACGTTGTATATAACTTTACCCTAGGGGCTAACATGTCCTGTAAATGTATGGGATTTTGCTGTACTCGTTACCATACCTGGGCATAGAAGTATTATTTTTGGTTCAATTTCATTTGTGTGCAAAAAGCATTCCTCAGTGAGTCTGTTGGAAAAAAACATCGACTTCAGCAAGTGGAATTATGGGTAAAGAAACGCACTGCACAGTTTTGCTAAATGTCGCTTTCATATAATGGTTGAGACACCCTTTTTCAAAAGTTGTAAACACTTGATTGTGTCAATCATCCATTTTCCCCCAAGTTAAAAAACACTGAACAAACTTTTATAAAATTTTAGTTTTACATACACCAACTCAATTAAAAAAACAATCACTACAAAGAGGTAGACTGTAGTCTAGAGAAGGAAGGTAGAGGGTGTGTGGGAAACTCAGAACCGTGTCTCCTGACTTGCTCACTGTCATTCAAAGAAAAACAGAACTTTATCATTTGGTACCTCTCCCCTGGGTTATTATTTTTATTGGGGAATAACTCCTTTTTAGTGTACAGCTTTATTTGGTCAGTTTTTTTGTTGTTGTTTTTTTTTTAGCTTGTCACCAAAGTTAGCACTTTTCAAATAATTGTGTCAAAAAACTTATAATCATGTTCCATGGAGATTCTTTAAGATAATTGTATGCAAAGCACACAAAGTCTTGCACTATAAAGACTGTGGTACTGTTTCTTCCCATCCCCAGGATGCTCTCTCACTGAAGTTGGCCAGACTTCATAGGCCAGAATGTCTGCAAGGTAAGGCAAAGTGAAAATTTACACAGGAAGAAGTTAAAGTCAGCAGCCTACTTTGATGTAAATATTGGGAATGGATTCTATCCATTCTAAGAGAGAAATAGATCTCAGGCCAGCACCTACTGGCCAAACTCAAGTGGACCTTTGGATTTCTTTGCAAACATAGACTTTCATGAAAACTATCATTTCTGACTTCAACCTCTTTTTTTTTTAGCATCTTTTTTTTTTTGACCATGGAAAAGTTTGTGCCAAAACTATTTCCTTACAGACACTCTTATCTAACAGAAGACCTTCATCCTTCCCAGCGTTTTGGTGTTGTCCTGTAGTTGGAGCTCTACAAAGTCAGTCCAGGGAGAGATCACACACGTAAGCCAATTTTCTTCTTCATTGGTTTTAATATCAGAAATTTCATCCCACTCAGAATTTCCTAACTTCAATTTTTGAGAAGATTAAAGCTGGGGACCATTTTAAAAGCAGGACATTTTTGGTGTTCAATGAGGATCCCTGTTTAAAAATTCATTGACAACCTTTTCTGATCTTTCTGTTTTAACACATGGCTATATATTTCAGGTAATATCGTCAGAATTAATATTTCTTTGGTTCTTCCATATCTTGCCCCTGGTTTGTTAATGGTCAGTGTTCCCTTCTGCACAAAGGAGAACCGTTTTTCTTCTAGTATCTTTAACAACGTAATCCTTAGGTAAATTTACTACCCCCCCACCGACCCCCACCCCCTGCCCCAAATCAGAGCACTTTCAGAACACACATCTCCCAAAACTAGAGGTGTCATTAATATGCTGTTCTTGAAGTACTGCTCCTGTTTTTTCCCATCATCCATCACTCTCGGAGATTGTAGGCTTAGTTCATCTAGGGCGAGGCTGGAGTGGATTTTTTTTTTTTTTTTTTTTTTTGTAGCTACTTATTTTATTCTAAGGTGCACCCATGTTTGAGAGCCACTGAGAAAGAATAAAGGAATATGCTTCTGTAGGAAAGCTGCTGCTTCCCTGGGACACCCCTTGGCGAGACACCTTTCTAGTTAGATTAGAAGTGGGGAGAGTAGCTAGCTGTCTGCCTTTTCTTGCCACCCTCAGAAGTTCCTATGATCCTTAAGCAGAAATGAATCTGTTTGTTTTGGGGATTTTTTTTTTCCCCACCACAACTTCTAGAAGGGTAGTCACAGAAGGGTCCCATGTGAGAGTTTTAACCGCGGTTCCATAGCTCATTTGAGGAGTCTATTCAAAGTTCCTTGGAATTAGATTAGGGGAGCAGGACCTAGCTTGTCCCTGGGCTCTCGCGCTAGCCCTGAGGCAGGGTGTGGGGCCACGGGGCTTGCTTCCTCCAGGGGAACCCTCCCAGGTGACAGTTTTCCAAACTGCCCCCTCTGCCAGCCCGGCTTTCCCATATATCTCCAGATTTCATTCTATTTTACTGGGCCCATAAATCATCCAAAGGCTCTAGAAAGTCCAATGTTGCAGCAAATTGTAACTGAATAACTCACACTAGAAAGCATTTAAATAAAACCTATATATGCCACAAGAGAGTAGAAGCCAGAAGGTGGGAAATCATGGTGTGAGCGTGATTTCTAACGATAAAAGGCACGGTCTCATCTATATCATGTATGTACATGGTATATACCCTGGTGTCCACGGCGGACTTCATCCTTATGGGGGAAGCCTGGGGCCCCTACGTATGAGTTGTGCCAGCCAAGCAAAACCATGGCCTGCCCCCTGGAACGGCAGCTGTGGGGGATGTTTCCAGGCATTCACTCACTTTAGTCAAGGATTTCTCAACACCGACACTCCAGACATTCAGGGCCAGGCCATTTTTTGTTGTGAGGCATGGTCCTGTGTTTTATAGGCTGTTGAGTAGCTGCCCTGTCCCCTACCCACTAGATCCAGTAGTTCCCCTGAGCTCTCGCATCCAAACATGTGTCTAGACCAAGCAAATGGGTAGGGGTAGATTGTCCCCCTGAGAGAGCCATTGGTTTAGTCTGAAGGTACTTTCCATCTGTATAAATTCTGTTTCAGGATCAAACAAAATTTAAGGTGACAGTATTAAAAGAAAAGTTAAACCTCGAAATGGGGCTCTACAAAACAGGTGTTCTGAAAATAAGAAATTATCATTCGACTTCAAAGTCATGAAAAGGTAAACATTGGCTCCATTTTCATAGCCCACCAAAGAGCTGCCAGTTGTACATCAACTCTGTAGTTTCCCGTTTCAAGGAAGCCATTTTTTTTTTATGAGCCTCTCTTTAAATCTTAAGGCAAAGGGCTCAGATAAAATAACCTCAGTCGCAGATGAAAGATTTCACAGCTTAAGAGTGCACTTTGGAGCAAATTTCCGCATATGGTGTTGGGATTGGGTTCTGGGGAGTTGAATGTTGTCTACAACCAATAGTCCATTGGACAGCAAATTGTTTAAATCCAGATTTTCACCGTCTTGATTAAACTTGACTAACATTTATTTATGATAACATATAATTTATGGAAAACGTTTGGGTTGCAGAAACTCGAAAGCTTCACAAGCAAAAGTTGGAGAAGACTGTGTTTTTGTATTAAGTTAGATTTGAATAGCTACTGAGAAGCTTCCCAAATTGAGTTTTCTCAGTGCGACTGGGAATGGACCTGTTCCCTATAGGCAGGGCTGAGGCTGGCTTGAGTGTATGTGGCTCATCCAGGCAAAACAGAAACTTTCCATTATGGAAATTTTTAAACATAAAAGTAAGCAAAACTTTATAAGACAGCCTCCACATATTCATCTGCAGTATCTTCTCAACAGTTCCCATCTTAATGCCAACTCTGCTCCACCACCCCTCCCCCCAGGACCTCCGACTCTCCTGTGCTGTCTTAAAGCACATAAGTTTGGTCCCTGATAGATAAAGACAGCCACAGTCTTGTGTGTTACCAATGATAGCAATCCTTTTTCTTTTCATGGTCACTCTCTGCCTGGATCTTGCTAAGGTCCTTTCACTGACCAGCCTGTGCCCCGAAATAGTTACTCTTGAGATGTATTTTTGAAATCCCAAGTTGGAGTTCAAAATGGAGGAGCAAAATATTTCAGGCCCAGAAAGTGACCATATGAAAGAATATTTGCTCCTGTATAAAATTTTAAAAGAAAATATTTGCTGCTCAAAGTAAAAGACTCACAGAAGAATATTGCGGACTATGGCGAACTATGGTGTTGGGATTCCAAACCAAAGAATCAGTAGCTATTCAAATCTAACACTATGGTGTTGGGATTCAAATTGGGTTCTGGGGAGTTGAATGTTGTCTACAACCAATAGTCCATTGGACAGCAAATGTTAATATTCTCTGTTAATTTTCCTGGATTTGGTTAGGAGGGGGAAAATCTTTGAATGGAAGACTTGGCTGGTGGACTCTATCTCCCACAATTTATTCCTTCATTTTCACATTCTCTTTCTCCTCTTTCTTCCCCCCTTTCTTGCTTTCCCTTTTCCTTCTTTTCTCTCTCTCTTTCCTCCTCCACCTCCTCCTCCTCCCTCTCACCCCCAAAAGCTTTAGCTAGGCACATGGCCACTCATCTAGACATCTAGAGATTCATTTACCAGTAGCCCTTGGCCAGGTGTGACCATATGAATAAGTTCCTAGCAATGGAATGTGAACGGAAGTCCTCTGCCTCACTTGCTTAAAAGAAGTGCCCTCAACTTCCTCCCCAACAGGGAGATGCAACAATGAATCTGGCCACTTTGGGCCCAGAGAGTGGAAGGCACTTGGGGAAGAGAGTAGAGCTGACCCACTAGCCAGGTCACTGGATGATGTCCTGAAACAGTCATCCAGAACCCAGAGAAATAAGCCACTCTTATTTTGGGTCTCTGTAAAACACCTCTGCCCTAACCAGTATAAATGGAGTATTCTTTTTTAAAAGTACATTGTTTTGTTGTACTTTATACTTGATTCTGTGATCTTAAAAGCACTGTTTCTGTGTTTTCCTTTAGTGACTGTCCTGCAGAGAGTGGAATCAACCCCCTACCCAAAATTGATTTGCATTTGGGGACTGATGATGGCACACCCCCAAAGGATATGGCAAGGTTTATTACTCATATCATGGGATTTTTCTGGCGAGAGTAAAACAGGTGCAAGTCAGTCCAGGTG